TTTTATCGCCACCTGAAGGGACATAATGGACTAGGCCTTAAATAAGCCCTTGAATCAGGTATTAGATAAAAACACACACAATATTTCATCTATTGAGCTAAGGCGGTTGAGCGTAAAGGCCATGCCATAAAAAACCGACTCATGAGAGTTTCTAGGCTCACACTGCCCCCCCACCCCCAACCGCGGCCATCACGTGTTCCTCTAACGTAGGTAAGTCCTTAAAGGGTACTTACAGCTGTTTATTTAATACCCCCACAATACACGCGTTGACATTATTAACAGTAAAACTCGCCTAGCCATGTTGTACTCAATAAGAGCATCGTACACCATAGAGACGGGTGTAGGGATGAAAATTTATTCTTGCCGAAGAAAGGAAGTTGTTATGTATTTATAAGAAAGCTTATTACAAAACTAACAAATCAAATGTTCTACACAAAGCAGAGGGAAGGCCCCTCTTTGTTTGTGGTGGGGACTTTAGTGGCGATAGGACGCCTCGCTCCGTGCTCTGCGAGTCTGCCTTCCCTTGGACGATCCGACTCGAGTTGCTGCGCGGAAGCCTCACTTCTCAAAGAGGGAGCCTTTGGCACAGGTCCAGGTTCAACCTTTGGGAGATTAGCCAGCGCAGATATGCAACGGCAAATCCCCCTTCTTCCATGCTGCTGAAGATGGTTTTAGCAGAGGGGAATGGCACGGTGCCGACCCTTGATTCGTGGGTTTGACCACTGATGGAGGTCAGGGAGAAATAGCTTTACTGCTCCTGAATTATGGGCATGTGACACACCGTGTTCGAGACGTCCTGCTGTCATTCTCGTAGCCGTCAATGGTCATTCGGAAAGCTGTGCTCTGGCATCCCGCTACATAGAGAGTGGAAAGCCCCTCCTCGTATGCTCTGGAACAGACGGCTGCAGATGCTGCGTGGATCTGACCAACCACCGAGCGTTGGCGGCTCTCGTCCCCCGTTCTCCTGGACAAACTGAGGTGAGCGCGCATTTTATGAGGGTGCAGCTGTTTCGGCGGCCTGTCCGCTCATTCGTACTGTGGGACGGCCATCGGACCGGCCTGGACGTATTGCTGCCGCTCTCCCTTGAATTTGTTGGATTTGACCACGGATGTAATGTTCCCGTCATACTCCAAGGTGAGCAGTCTTGACAGCGAGCTGGCGAGTCTGCCAGCTTGGGTCTGCAGCGCGAGCTTACGGACTGCAGAGCGCAGACCTTGGGTCTGCGAGGCGAGTTGGCAGCGTGAGCTGAGTCTGCGGCGACTTGGGACTGCAGGCAGACTTGGGTCTGGCAGAGCGAGCTTGCAGGCGAACATGGTCTGGCGCGAGTGCGTCAACGTAGTCGGGCAAAGGCGGCGCGATGGGTCTGGAGGCGGAACTGTCTGCAGGCGAGCTGGTCCAGCGATGCAGCACGCAACTGGTTGCCAGGCGAGCTCAGGTGCGCAGGCCAGACTTGGTCTGCCAGCGGATTGGGACTGCATGGCAACTCACTAAGGAAATGTTCAAAGCCGAAAGCTACCTTTCCCGAATTCACGATACGAAAGGTTGCCCAAACTATATTTATTTTGTGATTTATTTATTGATTTATTATTTTCAGTCAATATTGCTTTTTTTTGGGGGGGGGACTGTTGGAAGCTTTGTTCATGAAAAGGCAATTTTGCCTTTGTGAATAGTCCCACATCGGAAAATGAGATGAATAGTAAATGATATATAATGGTTCTCTCCTTATTGGGCTTTGAATAGTGTTTTGGGTTTTGTGGGCTTTGCGTTTCTACCACACACACGCGCACGCACGCCACGCCTTGCCTCGCCACACCACGCCTCGCCCGCACGCGCGCGCCACGCCATGCCGCACCGCACACAAGCACACATTTTTTGCTTCTCAAGATTTTATTTTTGCACGTTTTACACGTTTTGTAACGGCTGCATGCGGGTAACGGAAGCAATAACCGTGCGTAACGGTCCCTTGGATTCAGCGGGGGTTACACCTTTCATCACCTATAAAAAGAGAGGACAAATTGCGCCAGGGCGATAGGCGGGTCCTTAATCTTCTAGGGCAGTGTTATCACGACTGCTCCCGATCAGGCCTGAATTTTCTAACTTTTGAATTTGTTTTTATATTTTATATCTCTGTTTTGATAGCAAGACAAGGCTTTGATTGACTAGTTATTGCAAAGTTTATTACAAAGTCTTGGGTGGGTTGGGTTGGGTTGATTGGGTTGGGTTGATTGGGTTGGGTGGGTGGGGGTGGGGGGCACGTTTTCTTGCTTTTGGGAGCTGGAAGCATTTTCTCCTATATTTAAACGTATATAATTAACTCTCGTCAAAGCGTATGGATGAAATATCAAGGAAAAGAGTCTTCTCCTATCTCAAAAATGGAATATTAATAACCATGCTAATTAAGCCTCTATACCATTTACACTTTTTGCATTGAAGATTATTAAAAGAGCTAGGGAAAAAATTTCAGGATACAAAGAGCAACAATTCCTAGATTTATCTCCACCACACATTAATATTTCAAAATGATCAATTTCGAAGTACTAAAACACTCTCCTATATAAAAGGTTTATTATTATCACTTTTGAATTTTTTATTTTTATTTACCTAATTTTTTTTATTGAAAATAATATTAATGCGATAAACAATTACACATGTGATGATGACAAGCGGGCAACAAGCTGCGCCGCTAATCCTTTCTGAATTGCAAAACCCAACCTACGAAACACATACTCAGCGGACCCTGCTGTCGCCACATTCTTATTCATGAATTTCTGTACCCTCCTTAGGAACTCCACCGCATCAGCTGCAAGGAAACCAAACGTATCGAAAGCGAACGGGGTGAAGCTGTGGTGGTTGTCCTTGCAAGCTTGATCATGTTTGTCCACCTTTGCCTCTGCTGCTCTATCCGCTGCATGCCCAACCTTGAACTCTCCATTACCAAACCCCACCAACGGAGACACCCCTGTGAGATCAACACAAGCATGCTTCCCCCCGCTCCAATTGTAGACAAGAACGTCTGCCGGCCTAAGAGTAGATCTAGCCTCTCCAGGAGGAGTGAGGAAGTTGACTGGCGCTTCCTTCTTTGATGGGATCTCTGCTCTTTGGAGGATATCATACAAGACATCTATGACTAAGTCGTGCCTGTACTTGAACCCCGGCTGCTTCTGACAATGGATGGCATGCTCTCCAAAAGCATCCATCTGCGTTCTACGACAGACTGGGCAAACTGTCCCCTTCACGAACAAAGGAACCAACAACCTGTACCTGAGAATGGCCTGATACTCCCCCGGAGTCATACGTTGCCCCAATCCCTCAATAGGCGTGGCCAACATCATGTTTGCTATATCCACTCCCAAACAGTAATTTAATTTTTATTTTTATTTACCTAATTCATCCGCTCATCTTATTTTCTCCTCCGAACCTTTAATTTATCCACGTGGTAATAATTAGTGCCAACAAAGCCCATCATCCAAGTCAAAGCCCTCTTTACTCTTTTCTTCACCAAATCTCTCCTCCTACATTTTCTCTCGCTTGTTACTTTCCCTCTCTCCGATCAAAAACCCAACCCCCAAAATAAAAGGAGCAGGGAGGTGGGGGAAAAAAAATCCAGTAAAAGCACCCCATTTCAACTGGAAGAAGCTCCCCTTGACTGAAAACCAAAACCTAGATGCTGCTGTTCCTCTAACCGCGATCGAGATCGATCAGAATGGTGTTCAAAGGCCGATTCTTCTCGTCGAAGAAATCCTCAGATTCATCGCCGATCTCCGATGGATCCAGCAGCCCTAGAACCCCATCCCTAGATTCCCCGAGCAAATCCGACTCCCCCTCCCCCTCCCCTCCCCCTCTCTCCTCCTCCTTCCGCTGCCTCTCGTCAAGAACATCGAAACTCGTCAGCATTCCGCCGACGCTGCCTCCAGGCGGCGGAGCGATCTCTGTCGCCGGATCGTGGCCTTCTTCGCTCGCGCCTGAACCGGCCATCAAGACGAGATCCGGCCCTGCCGCAGGAGCTAGGGCAGTCGGATGTCCGGCGGCGGGAATAGCAACCTCAGCTATTGCTCGACTCTCATCGCGACATCAGCGATTCGTCGGCGGCTGGGAAGAGTAGTGGGAAGAAGAAGGAGGCTAGAGGATTGGAGAAGGTTCCGGAGAAGTGTGATAGTTCTTGGTCTGATAGGAGTAGGAGTGGGGGGAGAGGGAAGTATTGGTCTGGGGATTTGAGGTTCAGGAATCAGGATTTGTCGGCTAATTTGGGACAATCTGGTATGTACGTTTGATAATAGCTAGCTTAAATTTGTTGTTTCTGGTTTATTTGTTTTTGGGATACAGAACTAGATTTAGCTAGTTTATTATGCTGTGAATGATTTGAAGGCTATTGAAAGATCTGAATTTTGAATGTGAATAACTTGAATCGATATTGCAACTTCGTTAGATTACAACTGTAAAGAGTTTGGGCTTCAAAAAGATTGTTATGTCCAGTAGTGATACATTATGATAAAGACTCGTCCTTTACCTTTCGAAGGAGACCACATAGTCTGTCATTTTTGCTAAAGCAAATTCAATCATTATGATAGAGTGAATACAGGTTACACTTTTAAGCTATTATTATTGCCCATTCAATTTAAAGCTAGGAGAAGAAGGGTTGTCCTCGTTTGAATGTACATGAAGTGGATGCACCTCTTCAAATTATTCATTAGGCAGTTCATTTATTTTAAATAACCCCCTGCATGCATTAGTGTCATTGCTGGATGCAACTGAAATGGAAAAAATATTCTTCCATTGCAATGGAGCACTACATCTTAGCTGGAATATACTGTAGGATTCCAGCTTGTCCTGTGTTATTGATTTAGTTGAATAATTGCAGTCGGTTATTATGACAACTCAAACCCATTGGAGAGCCTATCTGAGCTGCATTTCTGGCAAGGGAGACACATGCTTTTGCGTGTTGGCTTGCTGCTGTGTGTGGTGGTGTGATGTTTGTATGTGTGTCTGTCTGCGTGTGTATCCACGTGTTATCTAGTGTGTGATATATGAATCTTAAGCATGCTCTCGATAATTTGTCTGATCACTTTAATAGGTTCAGGATTTTTGTCTTGATTCATAGTCAATAAATTATCATAATCTCAACTTCTCCTAAACCGTACTTTCTAAGGATAATCCATAGATTATATTTGGACAATGGGACCGACTATTTCTTCCAGGACACACTGCATAGCTAAATAGAATATATCAGGTTTGTGCTGTATAGGGGATGAGGTCCTTAGGAGTAGGAAACAGAAGCAACAATTTTCATTTAATTTTTATAATTATGGGAAATACCTGAAACTTGAAAGAGAGTGTTAAAACTGTAAAGCTGTGAGAAATGAAACCTCAGATTGCACCCGACAGGGAAGTTCATTTGAAATCCCCCTTCTTGTCTGTTATATTGGTGCAATATGGGTTCCACTCAATATCCTTATGCAGGCTTTAGGTGGTTAGAAGAGTATGCGAGAGAAAACATTTATGCATCATTCATGTGATAATATGGCATGCAGTCATGCACGATTTGTTCTTTTGAGGGATATTTGCAGTTGTGCCTCCTGCAGTACAGGGCATTAGTAAATTATCACTCATTGGATTTTTATCAATGAATAAACCCCCTGATTAGTTAACACCATTGAAACTTGATTCTAGATGAACGTAGGGAAAATAAAATAGTAAAAGCCCTCCCTTCATATAACAAATGAGTGTGCTGTTTTATATCATCACTAGAAAACGTCCCGCATGATGCGAGGAACAATAAATGATTTCATCTCAATAACCATAGTCTTGAAAGTAAAATTGACATCTATAGCATGACAAATAAAAAAGGGAAAAAGAAAAAGGTATAAACATATTATATTCTATAATTGGAGCATTGGATAATATCCATCATGTGTAAAAAACCCAAAAGCATAGTTTACAAAATGAATGACTTTTCATTAACACAGATTAGCATATGAGATAATATCTATTATTTTCTTATGAGATAATATATATTACATTTGCTACAAAACTGTTTCCTAACCATTTTCCATTTTTGGTACAAGATAATAGAAACATATATTTCTCTTTACTTCCTACTCCCTGTGCCACTTATTAATATTATACATTCACATAGTTGAATAGTTCTATCATTAAACTGCAAAAGATTTACAGTCTGCAATCTATTTCCTTCGGATTAGCTTTTCTCAACAATATCAAAGCCTAAAGAATCTTGAGCCCATCTTTACAAGAGGGGGAAATTTTCTTAAGTGGTTGGATCTAATTCAGCTATTTCTTCGCTTACTCCAATCTAGAAAGTGACACAGTTTGTTGGAATATCTATCAACCCAATAATATTTTCTTCAAAAAATCTTTCGCCTTTAATTTCTCTTTGAAGAACGCTAAGGTTTTGCATTGTTTGTTCCATTGGGTCCTAGTAGCCTTTCTCCTCCTAAGAGAACATTGAAATGCTGGAAAACACTACGATATGTATAAGATTGGCCATTGTCATTTAATTAAGTTTTAGAAAACCATCAGTCACTTGAATATAACCATAATGTAATAATTGAGAAGAAAACTTAGCTTTGACATGTCTGCTCTTTATATTTGAAAGCATTTAAAGTTTTTAGAGTAAAGAGAGAAAACTTAGAACCTGTCACTTCATTGGAAAGGCAGGAAATAGTGGCCTTAAAAAAACTAAATTCAGTGTAATTAATGATTTAAAGGTGTGAAACATAAAATAGGTATCAAAGAATCGAGAACCAACTAAATCAGTAATAGTTCTAACTCCTAACTCCATGTGCACCTTCTCGTGAATGAACTGTGCAAGAAATCGTCCAAGAATATGCTTAGCAGAGGGTACTCGTTCCATGTTTCTTCAATGTATTCAAGTGTAGCGAGTGATCCAATTATCTGCTTCCCTTTGTGCACCATAACAGCATTTCCTACTATGTGAGATTATATTCAAGAAGTGAAACATATGATAGACTCATAATGATGTCTCTCAGCCTTATCATATTGGATTTTAAGCTTTGCTGATTTGATCCATCTGAAGCCACCAAATACCGTCAATATTGGTTAACAATGGCTAGTATAAGATGATGTAGGCTAATAATAAGTAATAAAGGATGAGATTTGAGTACTAAAAGTTGATGTGAAAGCATTACTTTGGAAAACCTAAGAAATAGATAATGGGAAAAAGTTTGTGATTATACTGATAGTCCAATCAGACATTGCGAAAACTCTTTGTACTAATGATAATAAGGAAGATAGAAACCACAGCCAATATCAAGATAGATAATGGTGCAAATTCACATTACCACAAATATTATTGTATTTTGCTGAATGCAACAGAACAATAATCCATAAAAGAACTAAGCATAAACCTAATATGCACCAGTGAAAAGCAACATAAATTAGCACAAGTTTGAATTTAAAAGAATTCAAGCTTTAGGGGACAAATCCATAAAGACAGGATTCAGAATCAGAAGAGGGAAGTTGGTCAGCATCTCTTAGCAATAACCTGAACAGAATCGAGTGACTGCCCAAAATACCACTTAAGGAATATGAAGTATCACTACCCGTATATTTAAATTAGTTTATCTGACCTGGCTTTAATTCAAAATGATGCCTGTAGGGGTTTGGTTCTATTTCTGCATCTTAAAACTCAAAAGAAAATTAGATGCACAAAATCTGGTTGAATAAATCCCAAAGATAGCAATATGAATATTGGGAATTATTACTGTAGCAGGGTAGACAATCACGGCTTCTTCTGATCGAGAACCCAATATTTCAATTCAACTGACCATAGAATAAAGTAATTTGTATCAAATAGAAACATAGGAAGAATTTTACAGTAAATTGTGTAAACTTATCCCTAATTACAGCAGATGACAAACAAATTTCACCAAATAGCAAAGCAAAAACCGTCTTGAAATTGAGCAAAAACCTACCGGTGATGAGAATCCTGCAACCTTTAAGCCTGTCTTCTCATGTTCCATCTCCAAACCATTTTCTGAAGCCTGCTGATCTCCACAATTCATCAACTCTCTTTTCTTTCTTAATTAATTTATTATCTAACATCTTGATCAATTCACACAGAAATCCAAATTCAAATACAAACCCATTCCAACAACTGACAAAGCCTTACCTTCCATTCCCTTTCTCATCACGGCGAAACCCATTTGAGTGTGACAAGGTATGGGTAGGGTGTAGTCACCAGCCCTCCATACTCTATTGAAGAAGGCTGAGGAGAAAAAAAAAACTTGAGAACAATGAAAAAAGAATCTCGGAAACCATCTTTCAGAAATACCCTCAAACCCAGGAGAAAGAGGAAAAGGCTACAAGGGTAAAGCAGGAAAAAATATATAAACAGTGATGGATGAAATTTGGCCCAACTTTTAGACAATAGATCTTTATAGTTTCTGTTCCAGATTAATGTAGTTATTGCATTAATGTTTATTAGTCAGAGGAATGCTGTTGAAGTTAACTGTATTGCACCTAAGGATCACTCATCTAATGATCAAAATGATAAAAACAGCAGTAATAGAAACATCGACATCAACAAAGCCTTTGTATTCAGAACTGTCTGAAGCTCTATGTACTCTTGGATTTTTTATTGCAACTTAGAATCATATTTTAGTTACACAATTTATTTTGCTTGGGAAAGTACTGTATTTTTACACCTCTTTGTGTCTGTTTGGTTACTTACATTCATTTGAAACTTATTATGTGCCTTTTCAATCATTTAAGTTGAGAATGATGAAAGCACAAATCTTGTTCCTATTGTCTGGTGCCTTCTAGTAAAGATGATTGATTCACTGTATATCATAATCTAGCTTGTTCTGCTGGACATACCTAGAATCTGACATCCTCTAGTTGAATCATGCCACAAGATACTACCTGTTCAAGAAAAATATAGGATTGAAACTCACAGTTTACGAGTGAATCTCAATTCAATAAGAAAATCTTGACATTAATTCAACTGTAAAATTAAAAAACATTTAATAGAACAAAATTAATAATTTAATTTCCAATTAAAGGTTACCAAAATCACCTGGCTGGTTTCATTTTTCATATGTCTATGATCTTATGCATATTCTGAAGCAATTAAAACTAATTCCAACAAGCCACACACAAAAAGAAGTGCAATAACAATAATAAGAGAGTAGGGATAGAAATAGTTAGCCAATTGATGAATAAGAGAGTAGGGATAGAAATAGTTAGCCAATTGATGACGCGCGATGTGTTCACGAGGTTCG